TCGCAAATAATTCTCTACAAGATAGCAGCACGAATAAAAGTGAAGTATATCATTATTGTAAAAAAAAATAATGTTTGTATACTTTTGACGCAATAAATAATATAAACTCAACTTTCAAGTCAGAAAAGCATTGAGAAGTTGGAGCAACATAGAAGTTTCAGTTCCATTCAATCCAAAATAAACACCACGCCACGAGACTAATGAGCTTGTAACACTATAATTTAAACCCAACAATTTAATTTAATTGAATGGTTGAACAGTTTGTTCAACCAATAATTAACCGTTAATCCAACACGACAGCATTTTGGTGTGACTGATTCAAATATTTATTTTTTGACAACCATATAGCATACTAAATCACATGATAATCTGGTTGTTGGAGATCGTAACAATAATGCCTGCCTGTATGTATGTGTTAAATTATAATGTAGTGCATTCTACCGGGACGTACGAACATAGAGTTGTTTGTTGTCATCTATGTAAACATCGTAGCCATTGTGCATGGCTGGTCATTTTAAGTAATTAAAGTAGAATCATGTAATGTGGAATTGTTAGTTCAGATATAATCGTGATTAGCCGTGGGTTCACGGAGTCTTTGGTTCGAACATGGGTTCTAGAAGACTAGAACCACGTTTTGCAGAAAAATACATAATCTTTTTTTATACATTTATGTTAACAATGATACTGACCCAGTACACTACATGAGTTACAGAAAATACTGCCAAACCAATGTAATATTATATGAATCGAGTAACACAGTTATGCTGGGGGAACTTATATTTATGGTGCATTTTTGTGGCAGTGATAGATGTCAGATACAGCGCAGTATCATTTGCAAGAACACAAAATGTTCCATTCAGTGCATTGTTGTACATATCATAGAACGGTGTGTGTATTCCGTAAACGTCTTCGTCTTTTTTTTATAGCTATCCCAACCAAATTCTTCTAAGAGTAGGGGTTATAGTTACGGACTACCAATAGCAAGGTAATGGTTTGAATCCAGCGTGGCCAAGTGATGGCAATAGTTGAAGAAAAACACATATCCAATTCTAAACTTTGACACTTATTCAAATTTAGAAGTACCAAATACAAAGAAACGTGTGAATAATTATCTACATATGCTTGAGCCAAAACTGTTGAAAATATAAAAAAACAAAAAAAAAACATGTGGCTGTTAATAATATACTCATTATGGTGATTAAAAAATCTCTGATGTGATTGGAACCACCGTCACCCTCCATTAATTACGATTTTTCAAATTTCATTGGGTCACGAAGTACTTTGGGATCGTTCTAATATGTTGTGCAAAATATTGTTTCGATTCTTAAAGTCTTGCCAGTTTACAGTATATTTCTAAAACTCAAGCCGTAAATACAGTTGATATGATTTCAAACGTGTGACTATTAAAAAAAATACGTATATCGTTGAAGTTAAACTGTGTTTAGTTGAGTACACGTTACGTTAATCATCTAGAACATAATAAAATATAATCGTCATTGATGGACGACTAAATTCAAAACTATATCGACGCTTGTAACATGTTGCCAAGTGACGTCATATAAGCATTTTGTTGCTAGAGAACACGAATACAAGCAATACCCATTGACGCAAAATGTTTGTAACACTGTTTAAAATAAGAAAATTAAGAATGGCTTCGTTATATTTGTGTTACTTACTGTTACACGGTTTCAGTAGTAACGTGTCAAATGTGATAATATTTTTCAGTGTTTTCAGCTTAGTCGTTCAGTATCCAAACCAATGATGATCATCGCACATTGCCGACTAGCCATCTTTTATGATATAATAAGCTGTAGGGCGTTTCCAATAATTGCTACGCCTATCAGCAAGTCAAGTAGGTTATAATCCGCTGTATCAACGATGATGATTTACATTTAAATATAAACCGATAGTATATAAAGTCATTCCATGGTCAGTATTAAAGTTATAGATAAAGCAAACAGACAACATCGTCGGTGTCTTCTTCTTCATTAGCGTTGACTTCTACTCTATTAACTGTTGTATTCACGATATCATCGTACCGCAAGAAGTCTGTTTGTGACTTCTCCCGACCTCTTTCTAATGGATTCATCGAGCATGGCAGCAAATTCGACCGAAACATTCCTAAATGTAAGTGCAACGAATTCCACTCAACAGTTTCTCGATACCATTGTAAAAAAATCTGACACAGCTCTCGAAAGTATTGCAACATTTATCGATGCGTTTGTCGATAATACAGTACAAAATTCAACTGAACCATATTTTAATATCAATGCAACAAATATAACTGAAGAAGTACTGGACATTATTGGTGTGAAACCATATGAACAATTTTTCGATGTAATATCAGCGTGTATGCTCGTCATTGTTGCGTTGGTTGGAACTACCGGTAATTTTAAAGTGTGTAATATTGTCTACAGTAACAAGGAACTAAGAACCTCCGCGAACTTTCAACTCGTATCGTTAGCTATAACAGATCTGTTAGTTTGTATCTTAACATCATCGCTGCGGTTTAGTTTAACAGTGAAAAGTCTTCTATATGGGGAAATCAACATAAAAGGTCCGTTTTGTACAAGTCAAATATTTATTTTTTACTTCTCAACCGTCACAACTGTAGTTTCTTTGGGAGCTATCAGTGTTTCGAGGGCGATAGGTGTAGCAGATAAGTTTACACCACGCACCAAGAAAATGGTGACCATCTGTTCGATCACTGTATGTTGGACTACAGGGTTTGGATATGCCACATGGAAGGCATGGGCCGGGGAAGACCTCTCGTGCAATTTAGAACCCATAGGTCAGGAAGTAAAAACCGCAACAAGAGGTGCCGTAATCATAGTATTTCTAACACTGTGTACAATGGTTGTGTCATATTCCTACATCTACCGCGTGATCAATCGACATGAGAAATCATTTCAACGAGCTATGAAGGCAGCAGGCAATAGCCAGCAAAGTCAACGCAAACCAATGGACCTTTCGACACTGAAGGTAATCGCTTCAGTCATGTCTATGTTTATAATATCATATTTGCCAGTCACATTTTATGGTGCGATTGTAGTTAATATTGATAGATATAGAAACGAACATGTAAATAGTTTCCTCATATCGTTTGTGTGTTTGGGCAGCACGATAAATCCTATAATATACTCCTTAACTGCCAACCAGTTTAAAAAACACCTACCCTTTATGAAAAACACATCTACCAACAAAATACAGCAAAATCAACGAGCTAGAACAGGACAGAAACCCCGTGTGATAACAACTATTATATAATACCCATAGTTGCAGAGAAGTTACTTTCTTTTCTCAAAAACAATGATAACACGTAACAAGACGTAATACGACTTTGTAACTCATATATATGGGGATGACACTTTCCGTGTCAGAAAATATTGTAAGATATTTTTTTACCCGGAAGAGTTTGTCACGCAATCTACCTCCAAAACAAACGAGTGTATAGTGTTCCTTTCGACCTTTGTATTTATAGCGGTTTTACTGCAAACATGTTCTCGTCAACCCCCGCTTTAATTAACATGAAGTAGTAACATGTTTTAATTAGATGAACATGTTCTTCGAGCGAGCTCATGAAATACGAAATCTAAAACTTGTATAAATTTATGGGTATGGGTTTAAAGTTAAACACATACAAGGATGCTTTTTCTATT